ATTATTCCTTCCCTTTCTCCAAAAGATTGGTTTGCAGCCCTTAATTTGAAAAATGTCTATTTTAACATCACCATAAGAAACACGTAGCACAAATCTCTTCAGTTCGTAGTGGAGGAGGCCCATTTCCGTGAGCACCCTTTAAAGTCTTTTTTTTTTTTTTTTTTTTAAGCAGATTTTGCGCAACTGGTAGCCAATCATGCTCTCTGACGGGAAATTTAAAAGAACAAACAAACAAAAAAAGCAGATGCCACACCCCCCGGAAAAGCCCCCAAACAAGCAACATGCTACTTAAAGAAATGAATAGGCCGGGGGTAGGCAACCTTTCAGAAGTGGTGTGCCGAGTCTTCATTTATTCACTCTAATTTAAGGTTTCGCGTGCCGGTAATACATTTTAACGTTTTTAGAAGGTCTCTTTCTATAAGTCTATATTATATAACTAAACTATTGTATGTAAACCAGGTTTTCAAAATGCTTAAGAAGCGTCATTTAAAATTAAATTAAAATGCTGATCTTATGCCGCCAGCCTGGGGTTCTGTTCACCTAGGGCCTGCAGGCGGGACCCCAGACCTGGGGGTGGGTGTTTCAGGGTCAGGGCAGAGGGCTGGGGGAGGGGGTGCAGGGCAGAAGGCTGGGGTGTGTGTGTGGGGGTGTGTGTTTCAGGGATCAGGGCAGAGGGCTGGGGTGTGTGGGGGGTGTAGAGCAGAAGACTGGGTGTGTGTTGGGGTGTGGAGGGTTCAGGGCAGAGGGATGGGGCTGTGGGGGTGCAGGACAGAAGGCTGGGTGTGTGTTGGGGTGGGGGTGCAGGGCAGAAGGCTGAGGGTGTGGGGGTGCAGGGCAGAAGGCTGGGTGTGTGTTGGGTGTGGGGGGTGCAGGGCAGAAGGCTGAGTGTGTGTGGGGGGGGTCAGGGGAGAGGGCTGGGGTGTTTGGTACTCTTATCTCAAATTTATGGGAATGTTAGCTTCTACAACATATATCACCCCATTTGCTTGTTTCAAATTAAGAATAATACAGCACTGGTTATCGGCCAATTACAGACAAGGCACAGACAGTATGAACTGAAAACTTCTCATTCCCAGACGCATGGTATTGTTCCTAGATTGGTGAATCCATTCAACCCTCCTCTTCTTTCTGCAACAGTGACTATAGATGTATCCAATATAGTTTGGCACACTCATTGCGGCAAGCTCATGGCTTGAGGACGTAGGAATTCCCTGAAGAAAAGGTTGCATTTAAACTAACTGGAATGCAGAGCAATCCAATGTGTGGAAGGTGCGGCATGAATGCTTTCAGTGCCCAAAGTAGTTCAGGTGACCACAGACAACACCGCTGGAATGTTTTCCTTGAAGAAGCAAGGAGGTGAACACTCTTCTCAACTATGCCAAGAGATGATGAGGTTGTGGGAATGATGCATTCTCCATAAGATACATCCCGTAGTGATATACTTACCTCAGAAGAACAACAATCTGGCAGACCAATTAAGCAGAGCTCAAGTGGACAACCATGTGATACAGGAAATATTCACATGCTGGGGCCAGCACAGTTAGACCTCATTGCATCTGTTGATAATTGAAGACAGTTGCTTGACTGAACTTTGGTTTATTTTGAAATATACTCAAGAGATCAAATAACCAGTGCAAGTCAGGTTTATTAATATGATACAGGAAAGATTTGATACCAGTCTCTGAAAAGCAGTCCAGGGCAGTCAGTGATGTTACATTCGCCTTGTGCAGGAGGTGTGCTCCCAAAGTTGCACCTCTAAAGCCATCTTTTTATACTTTATTTGTTTGCCAGTAAAAGGTACCATATTTGTCATTTGAAACTAGATTCAACCAATTAGTTTTTATCTTATTATTCTGGTACCATGGTGTGTACCCCTTATCTTCTGAAACGAACATGCATTCCAGATCATGATGCACCTATATCTTTGTTCTGGATACATGCATTGCAGGTACTAAGGGGTGTGAAGACACCTGCTAGGCCTGTACCAAGATAAATAGGTGTACGAGGATAACTCCCTTTCTGTTGCTATGGGGAAACAATTATGTCCTGGTGCTGATAGTTTTCTATCTACTTAAGCCAAAGCTTACCTCAGCTAATACAAGATGTCATGGTATACTTGACATAAGTGAACAGGATTATAACAAAGGTACAGGTTAATTTGGGCTATATAACTGTTTATATTAATACTTAATGTGTGTACTTAATGCTTAATATACATGTATGCTAGCCAACGCATATTAGTCAATACAACTAAGCGCAACAGAAAAGGTCAAATGTTTTGTTCCAGGGCAGGAAGAGACCACTTGATTTCCAATGTATTCCTTGTATCATACAGCCAGGGTAGGTCTTTTCCTCTAATATTATTGTTAGAGTTATATGGAAAATAAAACAGGATAAAACCAATCTATTGATCATACCTGCTTTGCCCAGGCAACAATGGTTTACAGATCTATTATACCTTCAGAAGGATTGTACAAGAGACTTCTAATTGTTCCTGATCTACCAACTCAACAGCATAGCAGAGTATATCACCTGAGCATGGTGCATTTCATAGCATAGGCAGAAGCTTTCTACTGGGCTTAGAACTATCTTTTTTGGCAACTGTTCAGAATGTTCTAGAGAATTCTAGAAAACTTTATATTTTAACACGGAAAAGATCCATTATTTGGGCAAATGACAGTAACATAGCCCCTGCATATGTCTCAATTCAGTTTGTACTTGCTCCAGCATAAGATATCGGGACTGTCTTTCTTTGATTAAGAGTCACCTTTCAGCCATATCAACCTTTCACTCTAAGGTTAATAATAAATCAGGTTTTGCTTGAGTTAGTCAAAACATTTTCTATAGGAAACCTTCCTGTGAAAGCTTCAACTCCCATTTTGCAAATCAATGTAGATTTAATGAAATTAATGAAACAACTATTCAGACCCTTGAAAGAACTTTCTTTATACTATTTATCTATTCAAACAGCTTTTGTATTTGCAATTACATATGCAAGGTGAATAACTGAATTACATACATTTGACAGACCCTCCATTTGTAGTCTTTCATGGAATACCTCACCCCAAATTACTTTCTAAAGTGGTCACAGACTTCCATGTTAACCAATCTGTTAATTTACCTGAGAAGCTAAATTACATACTTTAGATGTTAAGAGAGCCTGGCTTACTGTTTAGAATAGGACTAAGGAATTTTAGATGTTCACCAAAACTATACATTTCTTAAGCTGATAACAAAAAGGGTCAGGCACTGTATTTCCTATCTTTATTGAAATGGATTAAATCCTGCATCTCAGAAGCGTATAGAAAGGGCCTTATCAAAGTCACGGCCATGAAAAACACATCATGGACCGTGAAATCTGGTCTTTTGTGTGCTTTTACCCTATACTATACAGAATTCACAGGGGAGACTATTATTTCTCAAATTGGGGGTCCTGACCCAAAAGGGAGTTGTAGGCGGATGCAAGGTTATTTTAGGGGGTTGCGGTATTGCCACCCTTACTTCTGTGCTGCCTTCAGCACTGGGTGGCTGGAGAATGGCGGCAGTTGGCCAGATGCTCAGCTCTGAAGGCAGTGCCCTGCCAGCAGCAGCACAGAAGTAAGTGTGGCAGAACCGCAACCTCCACTACAATAACCTTGTGACTCCCCCTCCCCCAACTCCTTTTTGGGTCAGGGTCCCCACAGTTACAACACCGTGAAATTTCAAATGTAAATAGCTGAAATCATGAAATTTACAATTTTTAAAATCCTATGACCATGAAATTGACCAAAATGGACCACGAATTTATTAGGGCCCTACATATAGGTCATTGCCATTCCTCTCCCTGAAGTGGTAAGATCATACTCTACTAGAGCTAAGGCAGCTTCAACAGCACACCTCAGATACATTTCAATCCTAGAGATTTGCAGAGTTGCTAGCTAGACCTAAATGTGTGTATGGAACTCCAATGAGTAATGTTTAGTAGAGTCTAGATCAGATGCTCAATTCAACACAGCAGTTCTCCAATCAATTTTCAATTAATTCTCCTTGTCCGACCTGCTTTTATACTTGCCAGTATATCTTGTGAATGGAACTATGCAGAGGCAACTTGAAGGAGAAATGAAGGTTATTTACTTATAATCAGATTGAGATGGACTCAGAATACTTACACTCTCCACCCACCTTCTGCTCTTCCTCAGAGTCGTAAGTATAACATAGTATTTAGCAAGTTGTGGGTAGGAGCTGAGGTCCTTTGAACATTCAGGAATGGATAGGTGGTGGGAGAAGGGGTACGTGAATGCTCTAATGGACACAGTTAATTAGAGACACAAGGTGAGAGAAATAATAACTTTTACTGGACCAACTTCTGTTGGTCAGAGAGATTAGCTTTCGAACTTACACAAAGCTCTTATTTAGAAGAGCTCTGTGTAAGTTTGGAAGCTTGTCTCTCTGACCAACAGAAGTTGGCTTAATAAAAGATATTACTTCACCCACCTTGTCTGTCTAATATCCTGGGACCAACTTGGCTACAACACTGCATACTGCTAATTAGATTCCTCCATCTGAGCTGCATATGACTGGTGCATCCCATGAAAGGGAATATGTGGAGTCCATCTCTAAGAACTCTGGTTACAAGTAGGTAGCCTTCTTTTGTTTGAGCATAACAGTAAGTAATTCTTTGTTTTGTGGGAGATATCTCGGTCTCTTTTAAGATTCTCTGCTGTTCCTGCACCTTGTTTTTGTAAGGAATAAGTTTAAAAAGCAAGGCAGGTGCACAAATCACTTAAATCCACTGGTTTGTTTACTTTGAGTCTAATATCTGCATCTGCTTTACCTAGTTTTCCTACTTCCAGCATGTATGTATTGCAATAGGAAATACATAAATGGTATCCTGACAGCTGGACTTCAGTTTGGATCTGCTGTCAGAGATGGTAAATGCACTGACAAGGATGGTTAGTTAGATGTTTAACCAAATGTGTCTATAAAAAGGTTGTGCTAACATAAATGGGCTTTATGTTTAGGTTGTAACGGATCCTCCTGTTATGAAGAGAAAATGGCAAGAATGTAAGTGTTCTCTGTATGTTTATATAAGATTAAATTCTGCAATCTTGATTTGGATGCAAGGTCTATTGACTTCAAAGGGAGTTTTGCCTGATCATGCACTGCTAGAGTTGTTTGCTAGTTTAGAGTGTGTTACTGTTGTTTGCTACATGTCTCGACTTGCGAGATGCTGAGTGAAAAAACGACATAAGAAAAATTGAAATAGGACACTGTTATTCCAAAATAAGTGTTCACACACAGACTTGTACAGAAATAACAAAAGGTATGAATTAAAGCCAATTTAGTTATTTTGATGCAAGTTTGTGTGGAGACCAGACCTTAGAGTAGTTGAGCAAGAAGAGCAGTTGAATATAGGGGACTTAATAGTCACTTTCAGCCTATTGAGGAAAAAGTTATCCATTGGAAATCCAGATAAATATGGATTAATCTGTCAGTCTAGATCAAGGATTCTCAAGATTTTTCATAGTGTGAACTACGACTTAACATGGATTACCTCTTGTCCGATAATGATAGCATGGGCTGCCTTCCTTCTTAGTGCATTTACAAAAAAAATCCTTGGAGCAACTTCAGCAATTGCTTAGATGGCAAAATAATATTGTATCTGTTTTTTACTGCAATTTAACAAGTGGAGACTATGAGGAGAGCCAGCACCATGTGGCCTGTCAGCTCTTCATATTACCAGTAAATGTGATAGGCAGTAGACAACAGTTTGGGAACCACTGTATTGGGAACCACTGTTTTAGATTTCTAGTCTCTTGAGGTCTGTGAGTTTTTGGTTAGTGTGTTTGTCAATTTTGTCTAGTTGATTCAGCAGAAACCAAAATGTTATCAGGCTAGAGTCCAACCAAAGATTACATATAGGGTTGCTTGGGTGAAACTATTGGATTTTTAAATGCACAAGGAATGCTGTTAGCTTGATAAGGTTTTTTTTTTTTAACTGAATTTCCAGATTACACAAACTATACAGTAGTGTAAATAAGAATGTTCAGCAATTTATTAATATTAAATATTTAAAAATAAGTTGTATAACAAAGGAAGAAATGTACACCTCTACCCCGATATATCGCTGTCCTCGGGAGCCAAAAAATCTACCGTGTTATAGGTGAAACCACGTTATATAGAACTTGCTTTGATCCGCCAGAGTGCGCAGCCCCGCCCCCCTGGAGCACTGCTTTACCACGTTATATCCGAATTCGTGTTATATCGGGTCATATTATATCGGGGTAGAGGTGTATTTAGCTGAAACACTTTAAATGTAGCTTTAGATACTTACAAATGAGCAACTTTGAATCTTCCCTAATAAACAGAAAATGTTAATCTAAGTGCATTTCAGGCATGTTTTTCTTGACTACCTTACAGATGGCTACCATTCAAAAGCTAAGGTTCAGCGTGTATATGCTTCAACTAGCAATGAAGGAAAGGCAGACGGTGATGCTGATAAGGATAAACAGATCACAGATTCTACTCAAAGTTTACCTTCTCAAGGTCAGAGATTTAAACATGTTTTAAAAAATAACTTTATAATGCAATGTTAACCTTTGCAAATTCGTACCACCTATGGTATGTATAGCTTGGCTTGGAAGGATTAGATTTTTGATAAATGTCAGTGAATGTCGATTTCACCACATACACAAACTGATGAAAAATATTTCCATTATAACAATTGAAATTTACAGATAGACAAAGTAAGAAAAATGTTGCTTGAAAACTTGTTTGATTTAAGGATTTTTATTTCGTATTCTTTGACATGTGATATTTGTCAATTTGTGTTTTAATGGTTATAAAACTCTAACTATATGAATCTCAGCATCTACTGTCAATAAATATTTTCTGACCTCCCATAATTGCCACAATTATGAAAACTTAACAATAAAAATACTTAAAAATAAATATTGATAGCTGTCAATTATTTAAAAAAAATGAATTCTACCAAGCCTATATATAGCTTCTTTAGGTACTTTCAGCATATTTGTGAGTTTGGTGGGTTTGTTGTGTGGAAAACTAAATAGATTGGAAAATATCTCAGCAATTTAAGGAGTGGAGAAGTGACGGGGCACAGCATAAATTGTCTGGAGCTCAGTACAGTACAGAATGCCTTCAGGGAATGAGCCGATCAGCACATGACAAGAACATCTTGGTGATGGTGGACAGTATCTCAATTGCTGCCTATGTTAACAAGGAGGAAGATTGTGTAGCCAGCCTCCGACTCTCTGGGACAGAAAACAAGCTGTCATTGCTAGGTCCTTTCCAGTTACAAGGAAAGTAGACCATCAAAGCAGTTAGTCAATAGCAGGAAGGACTTTCTTGCCATGGATCCAATTCTATGCTAAAGTTGTCAAAGTATATTTTAGAGAGCCAAGTACTGTTGCAGTGACAATAATATGATGCCATGGCAACTATGATGGGTGGAAAAGGTCTATGCTTCTGTCACAGAGTGCACCGGTCACTGCTAGTCTGGTGCCTCCTCTTGGTCACTCTGGGAATTAGCTCTTGAGGTTGATGCCCCCTTCCATGGCTTGCACACAGTCGTTCTGTCTCTCTCACAGGTCTGTAGCTTCTCTCGTCCCAAGAACTGCAGTGTCCTCTTCGTGACTCAGCCCTCTGGTTGGATCACACAGTGTTCTCCCTTTCTGGGGTGGCAAGGTCTTTTCTCCCTAGCAGTATTGAGGAGTCTTCCCTCTCACTGCCTCATGGTGCCACTCCCTCAGTGGCTAATAAGGGAACCTGGTCTGCCCTGTACTCCAAGTTCCAGTCCAGGGACCCTCAACTCAGCAATTCTGGGCCTTCCTCTCTCAGCCGACACTGCTCCTTCCCTGGACTGCTTCCTACCACACCTGGTTCCCCTTCTCCCTCTGGGTGTACCAGCTCCAAAACTCTCCTTCCTCTTCCCAGGGAGTGACTGCTTCCTGCCGCCTTTCCCAGGAGCCCCTGTCTGTTGCCAGCTACCTGGCTTTATACAGGCCCTGCCTGTTCCTGCATAGCTGAGCCTGCTCTCAGTTAGTTAGTTCCCTGGCTTCCCCTCCAGGTGCAGCCTGTGGAGTTAATTGGCCTGTATGGCCATCTTAACCCCATCACAGCTTCATATGAAGAAATACATAGAACAACCATGTGTTATTCTCTTCATACTTCTACCCACTTTTACAAGCTAGACTTTTAAGAATTATTCGATTCAAGGAGTTATGACTGAGTAAATGGATGAAATTAAGAAAAAGAAACTTAGGGCAAGTCTACACTACAAAGTTAAGTTGATTTAAGTTATGTTGACATACCACCGTCGCAGTAATTAAATTGCTTTTGCACGTCCATGCTACGCTCCTTTTGTCAGTGGTGCACGTCCTCACTAGCAGTGTTTGCATTGAGGCAGAGAGCAGTGCACCATGGGTAGCTGATCCACTGTGCAACTTGCCACCATCTAGTGCGGGGTGTTTTGGGCAGGGTTTTCAATGCCTCATGGGGGCAAACGAGTCACGCAGGGGTGACTGGGAACATGAATTCAATGCCCCATGATGCAGGTTTCTCCATTCCGTAATTTTATCTGCATCCCATAATGTTTCACACCTTTTTTTTCAAAAGACCTGTAAACCCATGTGTCTGCTATCTCTATGTGAAACATGGATCCTGCACAGCTCTGCACTGTTGTGATGAGTATTGCAAGCACAGTGCACCTGATCCTGCAGTATTTGCAGAGCTGCCACAGGAGTCAGGCAGAACAAGATAATTCCTTGGAGGTTGCCTTGCTGTTGGACATAGAAAGAAACAATTCATAGTTATTGTTGGCATTCATGGAGCAGCTGCAGATGGTGGAGCGCCAGTTCTGGGCCTGAGAAACAAACACATTGACTAGTCAGATAGAATCGTTATGCAGGAATGGGATGACGAGCAGTGGCTGCAGAAATTACAGATGTGCAAGGCCACATTCCTGGAAGTGTTAAGACCTGTTAAGGAAGCTGCAAACTGAGATTTTCTTTTCAGACCACAGGGTCACCATTGGGGATATTGAAATGCCAATAATGATCCTGGGAAACCCAGCCTACCCCTTACTCCTATGGTTCATGAAGAGGTATTCTGGCCAACTTGACAGCAGCTAAGAGCTCTTCAACTGCAGGCTGAGCCGGTGCAGAATGACAGTTGAATGTGCCTCTGGACATTTGAAAAGCCGCTAGCGCTGTCTACTCACGAGAGGAGTTGAAAAAAATAGCCAAGTGGTTATAGCTGCCTGGTATGTGTGTCATAATATCTGTGAAGCAAAGGTGAAAAAGTTTCTGCAGTATGCTCTCTGCTGATTTAGATCAGCCAGATACCAGGGTCTATAAGAAAAGTTCAGTGAGGAACTATATGTCTCAGGGAGGCTTTGAAGGACCATTTTAATAGTGAGCCACAGTAATGTGTGTTGTTGAAGTGTGTTCTGCCTGGCATTGCTTTTTTTGCAGCCCAGTATGAATCTTGTAATGAGTGCTGTGTTTGTAGTAATAGAACATTGTAAATGCAAATATTGCTATTATCTCTGAATGATGTCAGACCCAGCCAGCATATGTTGTGAACTTATAAAAGATGAATTAAGTTTCCATAGACTTTTATTCCAAACCCATGCAAACAGACATTTATAACTGAATGAAACTTTATAAATACAGGGAAAAGAACCTTTGAAGGGGAAAGAACAGTTATTTCCATTTCACAAACACATACACCGATTGTGTCTCTCATAGATTCATAGATCAGTGTATGTGTGGCTGTGATGGTCTGTACTTTCCTCTGGGGTGTAGGGGTACTTCTAGGTAGTGCAGCAGCCCTGTATGCCATGTGGAATGTGTGTGTGTGTGGGGGGGAAAGATGTAGGGAGATCCTAGAATGCAGTTCTCTATGAGAATTGATACTGGCTGTCAACTAGACATCGAGACAATCACTACCCATTGAGCCCAACAATCTAGGCAGATTTCTGTCCATCTTATAGTCCATCCAATCCATACTTTTTTAACTTGCTGGCAAGAATACTGTGGGAGACTCTATCAAAAGCTGTTCCCTAGAGCGACTGTTAGCCTCCCTTGCCTTCTTGTACGCCTGCGGTGCTGCTCTTTGTCCCTCCTGTAGCCCTTGCCCCCATGCCCCGAATTATCTGCTCATAGATATCGACGTTTCTATGGCTGGATCAGAGCTGTGCCTGCACAACCTCTTCTTGCCACAGAACTAGAAGATCCACCACCTCCTATATAATCCAGGCAGGAGCGTGTCTGCAGCATGGAGCATGCATGGTCAGCTGTGCAGTTGCTAGTTGAGCTCTCCATGCCAAGCAAACAGGAAATGGAATTTCAAAAATTCACGGGGTTTTGTCACGGGGTTACTCACCACACTGGCTCCTCCTGCTTGGCGTTTCTGGAATAAGCTTAGTCACAGTGGGTGTGCCCTCGGGTGCTGGTGGCTTTCCCGTCCTCACCTCTGCCTGTAGACCCGTTATGGCTGTGTCACGATCCGGTTCCCCCCCCCTTCTGCTGGACTCCAACAAGAGTACAGCCATTCCTCACAGCAGATTGGCAGTCCACAGCTGGGCTGCTCCTTCAGTGGCTGGGGGTGGGGGGCGCCCACTACCTTGGGCCCCAGCCCAGGGACCCTACAAACAGCATCTTCCTGCTGCATCTTCCTTCCAGCTCATTGTCTCTATTCCCTGGGCCACTTCCCTGCAGCCTCAGTTCCTTCTGCTCCTGCCTCTAGCTCCAGCTCCTTGCCCTCTTCCCACGGTAAGTCCTGGCAGCCCATCAGGAGCTCTCTCTAGCTCTCCCAGTCCCTGCTAGCACCTGCCCTTCCCCAGGTGCTGTTCTCTCTGTAGCCTTCTAGGAAGCTAGTCTTCTCCCTAGGGCTCCCTACAACAGACTAACTCGTTCTGGTCTGCAGCTTCCTTTTATATGGGCCAGCTGGGCCCTGATTGACTGGTCCAGTCACTGCCCTAATTGGCTGTTTCCCCTGCAGCCAATCCTTTGGCTGCCTGCTGCTCAGCCTCCCTAGGCTGGTTTTAACACCCTCAGAGCCAGTGCGGGGCAGGCGCCCTGTCACAGGCTTTAAAAGGGAAGGGGCATGTACCTGGCCTCCAGGCAGCGAAGTTCAAAACAGTGACCAGAGCAATCAGTGGGGTATTATGAAGGCATCCAAAGAAGTGGGCTGTAGTCCACAAAAGCTTATGCTCTAATAAATTTGTTAGTCTCTAAGGTGCCACAAGTACTCCTGTTCTTCTTTTTGCGGATACAGACTAACACGGCTGTTACTCTGAAACTAAAGTCAATGTAAGTAATGCAGTGTCTACACCGGGGTGGGCAAACTTTTTGGCCTGAGGGCCACATCTGGGTATGGAAATTGTATGGCGGGCCATGAATGCCCATTGGGGAAGGGGGACTCTGTGGGGTGTAACATAAAGGATGTTACTGAGGTGAGGGGAGAGGGGACTCATGGGGTGTGACATGGGGAGAGGGGAGGACTCTAAAGGGGCATACTGGGGACACCTAGCGCCCCTGCCAGCAATGACACCAAGGCGGCTGTACCAGGCACTGTCACTAGCTGGGATGGGTGCGGCCCCTGGGTGGTTTCGAGGCTCTCGAGGGTGGTGCTGTAGGGGGGATTGGGTGTGATAAATACGTCTGACAGGTCGGAAGCGGGCCGTAGTTTGCCTACCCCTGGTCTTCATTGACACTGTGTCACCCTAACTACGTCGACCTAAGTGCTATGCCTCTCGTGGAGGTAGAGTTATGTTGGCGTAGCTGGCAAGTTACATCAGCAGGAGAGACATTTTGGTGTAGTACCCACAGAGTTAATCAAGGCAGCTTACGTCGACCTAACTCTGTAGTGTAGACCAGGCCGTAGACTGAATATCAGGAACTCTTCCTAATAGCGACATCTGCTACTCTGTAGAAGAGTGTTCAAAGGGAAGTGGTAGAAGCCTTATTCCGTGTACTTGAAAACTAGATGGCACAAAGCACTGGTGAATATACTGTAGCAAACAATCCTTCATTGACAAGGGACTGTATACCTCAAGAAGTTTTTTCTATCTCTAATTTCAGTGGTTCAAGGAGTTGTATATTCAGTGGCCTGCTTAGAGCAGTGTCGGCAAGACAGAAAATACGAAGAGATGATTTAGGATCTTTATAAATAACTGAATAGGCTTGATAAAGACACATCAAAAATGCTTTAGCAATGCTTTTGTCCTTTAAAAACATTAGAAATTAAATGTAAAAATGAATATTAATGCATTACTAGGTAGACATAAAGCATGCACATGAGAAAATTCCATAAGATATCATTTCTACTGCAATCCTTATTCTAGCATGATGCAGATGTATAATATTTTCCATTTCTTCGTTCCTTGGTAAAAGATAAACCTTAATGTATTAGTGTGTTTTTTCTGTATACCATAAAATATAAGTTGTACAACATGGCTTAGTTATTGTTGAAGTAAAAACAATAACTTTTGGACTTCCGCACTTTTGAATGCTTTATTTTTAAGCTTAATGGTGAACTAATGTTTGAGTTTTATTTTATTTATTTATTAATGTAAGGACATTCTAATCAAATGCTACTTTAAAAACATAAGATTATGAAAAACTGTTAGCAAATATACCCCATTGTTTTAATTTTTTTCAGATGGAAAGGATACTCAAGATGAACAGGAAAAAAGCCAAAAAGAACAACTGAAACCAGCTGAAAAGCTAAACGCTAACAATGCTGATGAAAGCAACAAAGCTGATGAAAACAGCAAAGGCAACAAGACTGAGTAAATTTAAGTTATTTTTAAAAACTTTACTTTTCCAAGAAAATTACAAGACCAGCATCTAAATCAAATTTGTCTTTGACAGAATTATTTCTGCAAGTCCACCCTCATGAGGTCAGGAACTATTTAAAAGCATTTAATTGTTAAAGGACATGTGTGTCAACCCATAGGCCCAATCATGTTGCAGCTGAGAATAAGATAGACCCATGTCTTTAATTCCTCTCATTCCCCTGGCAACATACACTTCTAATGGTTAAGAGCCAATACACCTCCATTGCTTCTTACCACTCTGTGGTTAAAAGAGCATCAGCTTTTCCCCCCACCATTCTGTAAAACTTTATCTTACAGAGTTGCTGTATCTATACTTGACACTTCATAAATCAAACTGATGGGATTTGAACGTGTTATCTACTATGGTCAAGAATCCTCTATTTGATCGCTCAATGTTAACTACCTTGTCATTCTCCAAAAATCACTTTTCTTGTTGCAGTCATTTCAGCCAGAAGGGTGATCTAAATTGAGGCCCTGATTGCTGATCTTCCCTTTATGTATTTTCACAAAGATAACTCAGAGCTTAATCCTCAACTCAAATTCTTATCCAGAGTGGCATTCAAATTCCTTCTGAACCAGCTCTCTACCGTTCTGTCTTTCCTCCTGAATCTTATGGGCTGCCTGATAAGACTAAGTTGCATGTTAAAAGGGCCAATAATTATTACGCAGGACCAAACCCTTCTGGAAATCATTCCAGTTGTTCACCTCTTTTTAAGAAAAGCTCAGTGGAAATTATCTCAGTTCAGCAATTGTGTAAATAGAGCCAGGACAGCTATGAAAAGGCTCCAGTGTCAGAAGGATTCAAAAGTTATTCTGTTAACATAGTAGCTGTCACCACAACTTGACTCTACTGTTCCTTTCATTTCACATCTTTATTCACTACTGTTCTCCTAAAACTTGAGCAAAATCAGATGCTCATTTGTGGAGGGCAGTCCTTCAGTCCCTTTTCAGTTAAAGATTCTTATAATATCTACCTGGGGATTTCTAATCCCCTACAGTGAGATTGCTAATCTCCTACTGTGGCTCTGCAGGGACAATCCTGTGAAAGAGCAAGTATATTAGGTACTATACAAACACCGTACATAACACAATGGGGTCCTGGTCCATGACAGGGATTCCTAAGTGCTATGTTTATTATCTGGAGTTCACTGTGTGTGTTGCCTCAGGCCATCCTTTTCTGATACACCTTCCTTTCATGCTTCTTTGGATTCTTCGGAGTCTACCCAGGGAGGAGAGGAACTGATTAAGGTCATGGATCTCTTATATTTGTGGCTTGAACACTTATATCTGAGGCTGATGCCTGCATGTTCCATCACAATAGCTTTGATGGTTCCAGGACTAGCAAAAGGTGGCTTTCACCTACAAAAGTGTGAGTTTGCAGAAACAGTACACGTACTAAATAACCTTACCCATATAAATCTACATTTATATACTCAGCATCTCTGTAGTTACATATTATGTTTATTTTGTATCAATTTATAACCATAAATTTTATGTAAAGAAAACTTGTCTTAACGCATAAAGCTCTTACATAAATCAAATTATACTGTACTTAAAAGGCCTCAATATTACACAGTAATATATTTAGAAAACTTATGGTTTTACTACTGCACTGAGAAAGCTTTTGCTTGATATTATTTAAGAATATTGACCTGTGAGTTTAAAATTGAAGATTTCAGCTTTTATTTTATAAATTACACTTAATTATTGTACAAAAAGATTCACTAATCAGTTTCATAACGAGGGCAGGACATTTCTACTCCAGATCTTTTCTCCCACTAGCAAATACGTAAGTAATCTCTCAGATTGTATTCCAGTAACACGATTCATCAAATTATAAATTTGTGCCCAAACATTAACTATTGTTAGAGAAAATATGCTTGTGAGGGAAAGAGGCCTTTGGTTCCTGCAACAGATAGAGTTGATAATGGACAGTCTCAGTGAGCTGAAATTTTTGCCACGTCGAATTACTCATATTCAAGTCATATGTCTAATTCCCGACCTGGGATCATGTTGGCAGGATTCCGAGTTGTGTATCTGTCTTAATTTTGCAATTCCTAGCATATCATAACTTTAATAGCAAGTTAGGAAATATGAAGTTCAGATAGATATTAGACTTGTATCATTAGGGAAGGGAAAGACAGAAATGAGTCCCAAATGTCATTTTGAATTTCCTTTTATTTTTCTTAGTTTGTGTCATGTTCTTAGCATTCTTGCTGTACAAGACACGAAGATTAAAACAATGGCTGCCCAATCTAAAAGAATCCAGAATGCACTGTCTTTTTCTATTATTATTTATTATTTTATTTATTAATTGTATTATGAATTTACAAACTGTGGGTACCACACAAAGGGGTTTGAATGAGGAGAGCGGTAGATTTGTGAATTGTAATTAGGAGAACATTCCATATCTATGGGACAAACAGTGTTAGATTGAAAGCAGGCTTTTGTATTCACTGTCTTCACAAAAAGTACAGGAGTACTTGTGGCACCTTAGAGACTAACAAATTTATTAGAGCATAAGCTTTCGTGGACTACATACACCCCACTTCTTCGGATGCATATAGAGTGAAACATATATTGAGGAGATATATATACACACATACAGAGAGCATGAACAGGTGTGAGTTGTCTTACCAACTCTGAGAGGCCAATTAAGTAAGAGGGAAAAAAAAAACC